AGATCTGATGCCATCAAAGCATCTCCACCAACTTATAATAATGATTCTTGCACATTTTAATCTCATGTAATGTTCTTAGAATTATTAGAGTGTGTTTTTCTACAAGTACAAAGGGTTGTGGATTGAATATGTCAGATTCAATGGATTAACATTTATTACTAGTATTTTTTTACATCATTTCAGTTTATTCATTTATTATATAGAACCAAATCACAACAAAGGTCACCTAAGGCACTTTATATTGTAAGGTAAAGACACTACAACAATAGAGAGAAAACCCCAACAATCAGGCGACCCCCCCATGAGCAAGCACTTGGCAGCAGTGGGAAGGAAAAACTCCCTTTTAACAGGAAGAAGCCTCAGGCAGAGGTTTGGAAACAGGACAAAAGAGACACTGTGAAAGAGAGTGAGAGATTAATAATAACTAATCATTAGGGTGTGGGTTAGGTGTAAAAATCAGATATCGGTTCGATGCTGATTCAAGTTTGGAGAGATTAGATATTGGTGACGATGGGCTAATCGAGTCCTATGTTCAGTGTTTAATGCAGCACTTGCACTAACATAATATCTCGCCAGCACCTGGATTACTGTAACTATTCAGCCTGCTTGTGTCTTATCTACTCAAAGCCACACGTATTAGTGAGGCGGTACACCCACCAGTGAGGGTGATCATAAGTGACGTAACACTGAAATGAGTGGATAACAATTGGAAGTAGGATTTTTATTTTTGTCATTAACATAGTTTAAGCAGGGCCTGATGTTAATCTGAACAATGACTTCTAGCGTCTTTCTCACAGTAAGAATTATACGTTGTTAATCTAACACGGTGTATATGAACTTCTCTGTGTTCTCCTTTTTGTTTTCTCTAGTTTTGTCACACCCAACCACAAGTCTGAGCTGTGTACCCCACGAACTCCAACACCGTTTAAAAATGCCATGGAGAAGTACGGGCCTCTGCAGCCTCTGGTGAGCATCAGCATGTGCTGTCTGGGAAAACATGCTAGCTCTCGTTTTTCTCCTGTGCTGTTAACAGCCTTTTCTGCTCTTTTGTCAGCCTCAGACTCCCAACCTCGAGGACGACATAAATGAGGTCATCTTGAGAGATGCGGGGATCGACTTAATGATGCGCTTAACTCCACCCGAACAGAGGCGCAAAACTGTGGTAACTAAAAGCCGATTTTAATACATTGCACAGATTTTTAGTCATTTCAGTCAGAGGCTGGTGTCAGACTCACTTTCTGCCCAACATTTGATTCCAAGTAGGCCAGACTGGTAGATTTACTAACCTAATACACCTGCATATTGTTTCCCTTTCTTTTAGTGTAAAGAAATATAATACCCCATCCATTAATATGAGGCTGAGATGTATTATAAAAATAAACACAATTTTGAGTTTGTCCACTTTAGGAAGATGCTACTACAGTAAATTAAAGAAAGTCGTCATCATCATGGCTCATTAGGCTTACACTGGGGAAAAAAAAAAAAACATCATAAAATTATATAAAAAAAATTCTGGCTAGCAGCTCAATATCTAGAATTTAATTTAAAAATCATTAGTGTTCTCTTAATTCACAAAAACTGTCTCTTTTTTTTCACCCCCATGGACCCGCTATACTAATATAGTAGTAGTGCGGGTGCTCTGACATCTTGATACTCCTGATCATAACATCCATAGTATACATATTGTGCACTAAATATCTAAAACCTGGAGTGAAACTGATCCTAGGAAAACTACTAAAAGTCTCACTAGCAGTTGTAAGTAGATGTAAGTTGCTAAAATCATCAAACTTTACAGTTCAGTTACATGTGCTGTCATGCTCTGTCAGTGATAGCAGTGTGTTTCTGCTCACATGCATCAGGTCCCTTCACTTTTGTACACTTATACTGTGGGCAGTATAACACAGTGCTAATCCTACACTGAATATTCGAGTTTAAGACACAAATGCCAAAAACACTAATACCTGGGGCAGGGAAAGGATCTACTGCTGTTTATGACATATCCTTCCCCTACTGGCTGAATAGTCTTAGGTGGTCTTCTTTCCACTATATAGGCTGCACGGTTTTGCACTCTTTTTGTTCTGCTATGTTCCACATAATTTAAAGAAAAAATCATTCTGAGTGCAACATGTATGAGTATAATACACCTAGAGCCGTAGCTGCAAACTGACAAATGTTAGTATGGAGGAATTCTGTTTAAAAGGGTTTTTGTAATGGTGCATGCAGGGGATGCTATTTTATTCTGTTAATGACCTTCAGCTACACAAACACTGAGCCTTTTGTAACTTGTAAAGTTTTGGAACATAGCACCTCCTTTCTTCACACTCAGGAGTTCCCACCTCGGGGCTGTCAATCACAGTTGTCACACACAGAAAGCAGCCTTGTTCAGTCGCTGTACCCAAAGCAGGCTCTTACTGCCACCACTCTGTGAGAATGCTTTGAGCTAAGAGCTGCTGACAGCTCATTGCTACCCTCCTTCCATTCTTCACTCAGATATTTTTAACAGACCTTGTTTCTCTTTGCCGATTTGGTCGTCTTTTATTGCCAGCATCGCCCTCCTATGAAGAAAGTGCGTAAGTCGTTGGCGCTGGATGTAATGGACTGCCAGGTGATGCCTACATCCAAACGTAAATCAGCCAAACACAACATCAAGGTAAAGTGTGTGGGAACGCTTTATTAGCCTGCGTGTGGTTTAGTCATATCCTAATTCTTGATATTTGGTCCTTACTTTTTTGGCCACAGGAAGAACCGATGTTGATTTCTGTCAGCTCTTCACCACTTAGCAGCAAGCGGCACGAAAACATTTTGGATCAGGGCTTCCTTTTGGGACCAAGTGACAGTGCCATATTTCCCAGCACAGTCCCCCCAGTTCCAGTATGTTCCACCTTTTTGCTCTTTTGAGAGGAGTTATAAGTGTAATCAGAGTGTGAAGTCATTTAAATCTGTTTATGGTTTTTTTTTTTCCTCCACAGATGTCAAAGGAATGGGAAATGGTTGTTTGCGGACAAACTAAAGACCAGTTAATAATGACAGAAAAAGCCCGGCGCTACCTTCGCTCACTAAAATCCCACGCTCCTAGCCGGGCTCTGATCCTGTCCTGAGATGGCTCGTGGTTTTTACGCCAAAATGTTACTTATCCAGAACTTACAGTTGCTATTTTCCCATTTCTCCTGAGGGCCTGGTGTACTTTGTGGCAGAGAAAGAGTCACGTATTGTAAGGTTAGCGCCATGTTTGAACAACACGTTAGCGATCAGGTTATTGACAGTGTTAGGCCTGTCTGAAAGAGAATGTTGCTTTTAGATGTAGAGTCAGGCTGCCAGGCATGTTTAATTCCATAGTTGTTATTTCAGTGTTTGAAAAGAACGAATGAATGTTGAGGGGGAAGAAGAAGAATGTGTAAATGAAAAATCAAGGCTGTATAGTTTTGCCATCACTGGGAAAAAAAAAGGTTTTACGTGTGATTAAACAGTTTTTTTAACATTGTGTTTTGTACAAAGGTTGCCCCTCCATATCCATGTTCTGTGTTATAGAGGATTTACAGGTTGAACAGTAATGCATGAAGGGAACACTTATTGTAGGATCTATTTAGCATGTATAGATTCTTTTTATGATGCATTTCGGTACACACAAATTGTAGCTTCCCACACATTGGAGAGAAATTGACACTAATCATATCTCTAAAGATGAGGAGCTAACTATCAAGATGCGTACATCTCAAGTTTTAATCTGTAATAGTCATTTATGTGAGATGTAGTGAAGGTGTAAATGTGTTCCAACTGTTGGTGTGAAGGGGATTATAAATAATGTGACACTGTAAACAGAGTTGACTGTTTGCTCTGTCATACAAGAATGTTGCAGAATTGAATAAAATACTGATATGTTCAATACACTTGCTGTTTGATTATGCTGCTGCAACTTTGTGATGCAGTCCTGACAAATTAAGGTGTATAAAGTAGGCTTTGTTTTAGTTGGAATGTGCTGAAAGTGTGGTCTAATAATTGGAGCCTGTCTTAGTTTATGCAACATTTTGTTCAATTATGTTTATATGGCACCAGTTCACAACATTTGAATCGGGTCACATTATATTACAAGGCAAAGACCCAACAATCAGGAAGCCTCAGCAGGTTAAAGGTTAGAGGTTAAAGTTCTTTCCTAGCTTGAGTTGGAGTTGTCCAGGTAACTTAAATTAAGATATTAACTTTCAGAATTTCCAATTACATTTTGTTTAATCCATTTTCTTAATGCAAGATCTAAATTTCTGAGTACACAGGAATGTGAAAAAGAACAATTTCCCAAGGCTCTATGTAATCCTGTGAAAAATTCAAAAACAAACTGTTTCCATTGAAAGTATCAGTGTAAGTGGAGTACACTTAATGTACTCACCATCAGCACAAGAAACCACCTTGATAAAAACAGGTTTTGGCAGTTGACTCACGTGGTGTACTTTAGGGTGACCATATTTTGATTTCCACACAAGAGGACACTTGGCCCGGTCATGAAGAACTTTAATAATACCGTTTGCTTCACGAAAACTTTAACATTATTAAACGACGAAAACTTCTCTATGCGGTTAATGAATGGTGAAATAAAAAAATGTCATATAGGCTTTTACAAGTCAAGTGCAAAAAAAGAGCACAGTTGGTCACATTAGTGTACTTTTAAAATTAGTTGTAAAATGCTTACAATTTAAATGCGGTTTTTATAAATGAAAA